TTTACAGAAAGCCGACGAGATCGCTAGATTCTACCATATGGCTAAACACATCTGGAGGGGTAAACATCAAGAAACAAAAGTACAGTAGGACTGGAAAATAGAGTACTAGTAGTGTACTGTACTGCCTATCTATTACAGAATGTCAAGGCTCTTCGTAAGATATTCAGCGACGAAGATTTCTATCGAATCAAGGTGGTGAGTGATTTCAAATAATTTTACTGTGTAATAACTATATTTACCGATTATACCATTCCTAGAAGGCTTCCGCCTTGGAAAAACTGTATCGGCTTTACCGTAGGCATCACCGTATTGGAAAATCAATTCTTCCCAAGGCTCGTGTCCCCAAGAAAAGAAGAGCAGATGCAGCAGCAAAGCGAGCAAAAAAACCAGTTGTCTAGACAAAGACCATGTAATCTTCTCTATTCAACAACTTCTAAACCAGGGTCGAGCTTCCAACTTCATTTTCTCTTACTGTCACTCTATCCTTTACTTTGTAATCTTCCCAATAAAAGGGTTTGTCATGATGTGTTTCAATACTATTTGTAAGCAAAGCATTATTCTGCGATAACCGCATGGGCGGAGACACACTTTTACTCAGCCACTCCGATTGGTACTGCGTATCTCCTCCTCATAAGGTAAAAAAGGCCAGTAAGGAACCCTTACTAGTTTTAAGCCTCTTCCTACCTGATCGCTGCGGACTCTGCGTAAAACATTCTGGATGAAACCTTCAGGCGCTGTTTATCGACGAGGGGGGGGCATTTTGTATTATAATTGCTTCCCTGGTTCCGGTTTACAAATCTCACTCTGGTAAAACTTGTGAACGCTTGTGAAGCTGGAGCAAGATCGTCTAGCCACCATCCTAAAACGTGTCAACTCGAAAAAAGGGTACCTAGATGGGTTGGCAAATCTATGAAAAGCAGAATGCCCCCCGTCGATAAACAGCGCCAGACCTTCACCACCATCGCAAACTTTACGTCCAGCTAGAACTGCATGTGAATTTGAATGTACCTTCAACCCGATTCAAAACCATGCGGAACAAGGGGATCTATGGGGTTATATTCCCCTCATAAAGGAGAGCCTTCTTCATAACTATCCGGTTCCTAACACATTAAAGAGGAAGACTCCGTTCTAGCTGGATGCGTGATTTGATCCCCGGACCGCAACAGTGATTATCGCGCCTCTTACCATTCAGCCATGTATACTGTTTATTTGGAATCAAATATCTCCTCTCGTTGGCACGATGCATTCATAGCCGTACAATTTAGTGGGTTTCAATTTGTAATTTTTTGCAATTTTCTTGCTGTATAAGGGGTACCCTTGACAGCACGGTGAAGTGGTTTTACCTTACAAGGGTACCGTACGGCTGACCTACATTGCTACTTATGGTAGTACGGACGAGTTTTCCTCGCCGAATGCATATCATACATTGCCACCAACTTTGAAAATGGCCCTAGTTCGGCGAGGGGGGGGGCATGTTGCTCCTCCGCTGGTTCCCTAGTCCCATTTGCAAGTTTCACTGAGGCGGAACCTGTGATCTCCTCAAAGCTGGAGCAGGTTCGTTGATTCACCATGGCGGATGGTGTTTGCGCGGTATTTTACTGCTTTACTAGAGTTGACAGGTACTCATGACAAGAGTTGACAGATGGTCCCTACAATTTGGCTCTTATCATTTCGTGGTTTCACGAGACTTCCAGGTCTCAACTTGATGGCTCGACACTTCGATGATAACTAGCAAAAGCGCAAAGTGCCCCTCTCACCACCTCCCCCCCCCCCTCCCCCACGGCGCCGAACCGCGCCGAAAAATATTTTAGTGACCAGTCAAAACACCCACAGTAGTCTCAAGTCCACTGAGAATTTTTTAATTTGTCTCTGAATCTCTGCGATTCGGTTGCTCGGAGGAGTCACGCGCAGAAATTCAATCTCTTCTGCTCACGACGGTAAAAAGCTGTGACCATTCAAAAAGAGATAAAGGGTTTAGATAAAAGGTAGGGATCCCTAAGGAGAATCCAACACGACCCATGGGCAAGTCAAGGACGGGGGCGGAGCCAAAACGGCCCTCTGAACAGCGAACATGACCGTTGTGGCCACCGTAAAATGACGTGTTGTAGGACGAATATCGAGATCGGGCTTGTTATTTCAGCTTAGGAGTTAATTCACGTAGTAAGATACTGACGCGTGGTTTTGTGGTGCGCTACAGCTTGGATGACGTCAAGTCTAGCAGATTTGCAAGTGACGACATACCATGAAAAA